ACTGGAACATACTTGCCAACTCCTGTAAGAAACTTCTTCCCTTATTTAATGATTTGTTTGGTTCAGCTGTTATATGAACAGTTTCTTCGAGTAACACCTACACCGTTTCGTTCCTATTGTTATATCGAATAAGTTCATTTAAAAACAAACTAGGAAGACAACTAATTACTATTTGTTTGTTTCATGTTTTTCTTTTGTTTCCCTTTTCTCTGGCTGAAAAATTCTGCATTTTTGTTCCTGCACTATGTTTGCTGTTCAATTGTTTGTACTGGTTAGGTGGTTCCTTGCCTTCTTGAATGGTTTGAGTTATACCTAGCATGCTAGTCTTCCTTTTTGAGATTTTTACTTCGCTTCTTTTAATTTTTCTAGAAGGCCTCAGCACGGGAACGACATTCGTCAAATTCTAGACGAGGAAACTATAGCTACGATAGAAGTGATAGTCATGGTGAAAGAGAAGGGAATTTGAACATCAATCCAAAATCACGAGGCTCTAGTCGCCGTGGTCAAGTTGACAAGCCGAATTCCAGGTTAGACCGCTTGTCTTCAAGTGAGAATCGAGCTGAAAGAGCATGGAGCTCACATAGACATGATTCCATGACTTATCCTTCCCAGAATGGTCCGCTCCGCCCGAACTCCACGCAGGGTGGTACAACTAGTATGACTTATGGCATGTATCCACTACCAGGCATGAATCCTGGCGTGGTGTCTTCTAATGGACCTTCTATGCCCTCTGTTGTGATGTTTTATCCGTTGGATCATAATGGTGGGTATGGCTCACCTGCAGAACAGCTTGAGTTTGGATCTCTTGGACCTGTAGGTTTTTCTAACATGAACGAAATGCCTCAAATGAATGAAGGAGGCAGAATGAGTAGAGCATTTGAGGATCAAAGGTTTCATGGTAGCTCGAATCAACGTACTCCTCTCGAAGAACCTCCTTCGCCTCGTCTACCAAGGTAGCCTTAGCTCAATTTCCTTCACGACCGAACTATTTTCCAAGATAGGAAAGCATCAACTGAAAAAGAAGGTATGACATGACTGTCGAGCTGTGTTGGTTGCATACTTTGATTCTACTTGCAGCTTGCAGCATCTCAGGAGCCATAGGCGTGCACCGCCGATACGAGCAATGCGCATCAGGAACCCCCTACCCTTTGCACTGTTTTTCCTCCAAGGGCATCCACATTTGGGGATTCTCCCTTGTTTTGTTTTGGCAAATAAATATATCAAAGAGGAACTTTTGGTCGAGCTGAGGGTGATCTGATCTGCCTGCCTATTGCATTTTGAACCGAGGTAGGTGTCTACAAGTGGACGAGGTCTCTGAAAGCTCGTTCTTACTCGGCTTGTCAAGTGAAGCATCATCCGGGTAAAAAAAAAAAGGTTCTCGTGGACAAACCAATGGCGCACGGGTAGTTTGTATGTATATTAAAGAGCGAAATCCATCCCATTTAGAGGGACAGAAAAGTGGCAGGTGAAGGAAGGAGGTCGTGGGTGTCGGGCGAGTAGAAGACGAAGACGACGATGAAGAAGATGCTCGATTAATGGAAGTTAGAATGTAGAAATCCATGTCATTACAACACGATTTGTTTCCTTGGGAGTTCTGTCACTGTCACAAAAAAATACATTACATTAGGACTGCCAATTTAGAGTCTTCACTTTGTAATAGTTTTTTGTTCTTTTTTAACCTGTTTTACAAACTCCTTCCGTTTTGCACATGACTTTGACTTTGACATTGACAGAATAGTAATGATAGCAGCAGCAGCATTCAAACATCCTTTTTGTCTAAACTTATCATTTTATGCTCATCTCATTTTGGCGTCAACCAATTAAACTTCGGAAAATGTTGAACAATGTATGTTCAAATCGCGGACCTACATGGGTTCTTAATAAGTATGTTGAAAAACTTCTGTCTCTCAAGTAAGTCAACCAACGTCTATGTTCATCTATGTTCAACTGTTCTAAAGAACAGACAACACAATAGTATGTTTAATCAGAATAGAGTCAACTGTTCAACCTTCTAATAGAGTCAACTGTTCAACCTTCTAGAGAACAGAGACAACAGTATGTTAAACCAGGATATTGTCAACTATTCAACTGTTCTAGAGAATAGAGTAGTCAACTGTTCAACCCCATTATAAAGAACAAAGTCAACCGTATGTTCTAGAATAGAGTCAGCAAATATACATAAAAGGGCTAGGATTAATATAGCTTTATGTCCTTGAGTAAATGAAATGGCCCAACCACCTTCCTCCACGTAGATTTTGAACATCACGTGGCAATAAATAATCAAACACCTGGCACCACTAAATCTTTTGTGTTCCATCTACTTCCATCTCACCACCTATGGTCATGCCTCACCCATATAAGGTAAAATCTTAATGCGAAAAAATTATATTTTAATGCTTGTAGCTATCGAGCTTGAGATCACCGTCATCCTTTCCCTAAATGAAGTAATATCAAATTCTTAGATGAAAACTTTTTATTACAAAAATAACACGTTAAGCAACCATTTTTTTTTTTTTAAATAAAGAGTTGTAGGCGTAGAAATAATAGAAGATCGCATGAGAATCCCCAATGAGAAAATATTTAACTTAACTGTTCGCCTCGACCTCAATCTCATTCATTTAAGCTAAAAAAACCAAAATTTCTTGAAGGAATTCAAGATATAATAAAATTTCAAAGTTAATAATTATTAGACATAAATTAAAAATATTCCAAATATAAATTTAAAAATTTATATAATTTAAATATGAAATTAAATAAGATAATAAATAATAAAAGGAAAAGGAAAAGGGGGGAATTTGTCGGCAGAGCATTGGGTAGGCAAAAAAAGTCAGACTTCTCTGCTTCTTCAACCTTCTCCTTCACCCATTTTTCTCGTTATCATCTTCAACCCAAATCCATGGAGTCGCAGTACATTCAGAGCCACCACAGACATAATCCGGCAGGCAACCAGTGCTCCTCCGCCGTTTTCAAGCGCATCAAAGCTCCTGTTCACCTCGTACGTCGATCCTCCGTCTTTTTCATCTCAATTTCAATTTGTTTCTGTTTCTTTCCCATCCTTATTCCTAGATTAGTGTTTTAGGTCGTAGATTCAGCACTTCCCTCTATTTCTGTCAACTATTTCATTTTCGATGAAGGAAAATGAAAACGTGATTTGTCTGTAAATTTTGTTGTTGATTTGTTAGGTATGGTCGTTGGTGAGGAGCTTCGATCGGCCGCAGAGGTACAAGCCTTTTGTCAGTCGGTGTGTGGTTAGAGGAGATAGCCTTGAAATTGGGAGTCTTAGAGAAGTTAATGTTAAATCTGGGCTTCCTGCCACTACCAGCACTGAGAGGCTGGAGCTTCTTGATGATGATGAACATATTCTTGGTGTCAAGATTGTTGGTGGTGATCACAGGCTCAAGGTATTGCTCTCTTTTGTTCTTAATGTCTTCTTTTAGCGGTTGCTTTTCATAAATTTGTTTGGTAGATGTTCTAAACTCCCCTGTTGAACTGCTTCTGAACATAAAAATCTTAGTTTAGGTGGATAAGTTAGGATGAATTTAACGAGCAAGTGCTAAAGATAATTGAGAAGGAATTGACATTGCTGGTTCTCAAACACATGAGCTTCTTTTCTAGTATAAACTCGATTATCACTGATATTTCAAATACTAATGCAAGTTAGGTAACAAGTTAAGAACATCTGAAAATTAATATCCTTGAGAGATTCTGAGTTCTTTGCAGAACTATGCTTCGATTATCACTGTCCATCCCGAAATCATCGATGGAAGGCCGGGAACGTTAGTAGTAGAGTCATTTGTCGTGGATGTGCCCAAGGGGAACACCAATGAGGAGACATGTTTCTTTGTCCATTCCTTAATAACCTGCAACCTCAAATCACTGGCCGACGTCTCCGAGAGGATGGCTGTGCTGCAGGATGCAGCCGAACCGATTCCTCAATGTTGTATATAAGCAAGAGCAGAAGGGATGAAAGCCTTTCAATCGATTTTTCTGTCACTATGGATTTGTCATCTCATTGGAGACTCGCCCAGTATCCTCTTCTGATTTTGTTTTCATATATTACCTCAATTCTAGGATAATGTCTCATGTTTTTGTTCTTGTTTCAATTTTATTCCTTTGGGTCGGTGGAACTCCCAAAACTGGAAATGTGGAGTTCGGTTTTGCTTTCGATGTCATAGATATATATAGATATAGATGAATATATGGTTGTCATAGATATATATGGATAGTATAGAAATGTCATGGATAATTGAGGTGTTATAGCATAGAAATGCTTTGGTCAGTGTATGGGATACTTGAGGTGTTATGTATATAATATGAACTTTGAGATGCTAAGAGATGCTAAGCCAATTATTTTTGCTTTAGCTTATGATGCATCTATCTTATTCGGTGTAGAACTTATGATTAAAGTTAGATTTTCTGAAATATATTATCTAGTCTCATCAGTATGAGAATGTAATTCTATGTGGTCTGAGTGATGAAAGACACGGAAACTCGACACAAACCGAACCTACCTGAAAATCAAATGGAGTATAAACTTGAAACTTAACCTTAGTTGTATAGAAAGAGTTGGTTGTACGGGAAATTTAAGATGAATGGTGAACTTTGTTCCTCTAGAAAGAATTATAGGTCGATTAAGAAAGCTTATTTCGACAAATAACCTATGATAGGTGAAAGTGGTGAGGTTGAGAAAGGACAAATCTTTCGTTTTGGCGTAGATAGTATTAGGGGAATTATTATTATTTTTTTCTTTTAACAAAAATTCAAGTAAAAAAATATACGACCAAATTATATAGCATGCATGCATTAACGAGCGATATATCTATAATCCAACCACGATTACTCAAGGCTCGAAAACTTGTGGTCTTGAGCTAAAACTAATGGACTTATACAGTATCTCGTTCTCTTAGCCTTTTTAAAAAGCCTTTTTGTAACTTTTTAAAGGCTTTTTTAGAGCATAAGCACAGACCCAAATGCATGAAATCTATTTGACTTAAACGTGATTTGAGAAAAGCTTTCATTGCTATTTTTGAACAGAAACCATAGTTACTACACAGCAGAGCACATTCATGAATCCAGTCACTAAAGATTTCTAGGAGTGTACTACAAAATAGACAAGTTTATACCTCTCACCATCTTTCTCGGGGCCGTCCATCAGGTAATACGGGAGAAAGAAGACTCTGATCGAGCTTTTGCGAGTTATCGACCTGGCTTTGCTTCCTTGCTTCAATATTTATGGATTCGCCATCTCGATCTACATTGAAACTTGGTGGGGTATCATCTTCTTCATCACTCCAATTATCCTCAAAAGCTCCATCCTCATTGTCGTCAAATTCATCACCATCGTCCAAAAGGTTATCGATATCAGATGACTCTTCACCACTCATATAATCTGGCTGATCATCTCCCCCATCTGTGTCGTTTTTGAGTGCTCCTCTGCCTCGGATTCGAGGAACAGCAACAAGAGCTCGGAGTTTCTCCTTTATGATTAGTAACCGATCTTTGTCGATCAACTGAGAATTACGATATGCTTCTCTGAGGAAGACCGAATCTCTATCCCCTTTCAGTGAGACGTAAAACATATCGGGATGCCTTATTAACATCCCCCTCAACTGCTGCGAGAATCTAAACTCTTCTCGAAAATGAGTGAGATGATCCACTAGAGTTCTCTTCTCAAGTGTGAGGCTTAAAATCTCATGAACAACCCCGCAAGCGTGTTTCTCTTTCTCGGGCGTACCTGCCTTAAGCCCCGAGAAATCAGAATAGGGAGAGATGTAAGGAATGTCCCTAAACTGACAAATTCTCCTCATTTCACTCTTTGAGACGTTAAGACCCTTGGGTAGCCTCACACGATTAAACTTCAGCGGTCGGTCAATAATCAAATTCTTCTCTTCCAACTCTATAGCTCGGTTTTCCTCTTCTGCCAACTCTGATGCAGAAACTGCAAGTTCAGGATCCCAGTGAGTCAATTCGAGGGCTGGACCACGCCCCGTTGCTACAACTCTAAAGTACTGAGGATAACCGTGACAAATCGTTTCACGAAACTCTAAAGGAAGACCGAAATCAGTCCTCAAATGAGCAATCTTCTCCAACAATATTCGTTTATCAACCGACATCATCAGTAGCTTCCTCAGCTTCATAACCAACAAGCCTTCCATCTCATTCCTGATCTTCAACTCCTCCAAATATAAACTTTCGGCCTCTGCCGTTAACTTGACTTTCAACGAAAATGCCCCTTCTTCCACGACCTCAAACACTGCAGGGAACTTCTTCAACAAAGCAATTAGCCTCCTCTTTTTCTCCAGACCCAAATCTCTCCTGAATTTACCTAATTCCTTAAGCGACATAACTCTATCAGGATGTTGAACTAAAATCTTCCTAATCCTCATAACTAACTTCAGCTTCTTATCCCTCTGTATAACATTATCGAACGGAAGCTCTTTCCTCCGTTTCACAATAGCTGTAATCGGTTGAAAAGGAACACGAGATTTTCTTAAATCACTACCGGAAAAACCATCATTTCTGTGCCGCAAATCCAAGTTCTTACCCCAAAATTCCGATTTAACAGAAGAAGAAGGATTCTCAAAGAAATAAGCTCTATGCGGAAGAACGAAAGGTATGGACATGGATAACGAAGCTTTGGGCGAATAAAAAAGTACCATGGAATCCATAAACTGGAGCTATCAATTGATTCTATGAGACAAGAAATAAAGAAGAACAATAAAGATTAACTCACCTGCTCAGCTCGAGCGAATTGAAAGGAACGGATTAGGGTTTATCTTGAAGGAGAAACCCCTTTCTTCAAATTCGCAGAGATTTTTTCATGGGCGCAACCGGGCAACAAAGATATCTGTATATCCACTTTTTAATTTTTCCTTTTTCAACAAATATTTTTTTTTAAAAAAATATTATTTTAAAATAAATATTTTAACACTATAAATTTAGTATCTTTCGCTAATTTAAAGGTTTTTTTTTTTAATTATAAATTTAATTATTCTCTTTTAAATATAAAATTAAATTTCATGTCTATATAGTTAAGAGTGGATTATTTTCTATTTTTGAAAATTATATTTATTTTTCTCCTTCATTAAAAATTTTGAATTAATAACCAAATTATAATTTTTTTAATTATTTATTTTAAATTCAAAATTAAATATATATATATATATATATATATATATATATATATATATATATATATATATATATATATATATATATATATAAATTATAAACGAGAAAAAATTGAAAGTTTGATGATGATAATTTTATATATATATATATATATATAAAATTAAAATTTATGTGTATTTTTGAAATGCTCAAGCTGATAATAAAAAATATTTATTTATTTTTTATTGAATTATTAAATTTTTGGAATTTAAAAAAAAAATAGAATATTAATAAAACCTTTTAAAAAATGGTAAAAATAATAGCGGGAAGTTGTGTTTTAGTTGACCCTTTTTGAAAGCGGGCAGTATTGCCCCCAAATTGAAACAGCGAAGAGCTCCAATTCCTCTCTGCCTGCTCCTCATTCTCGCGCTACTGCTTTTGATTTTGAATCAATGGCGCGAGCGAAGCATCCAACCCAAAGGAACTCAAATCGCAAGCCATCAGGTTCTCTCTGCCACACACAGTAATTTGGATTTACTTCCCGTTTTCATTCATGGGGTTTTTTTGGGTTCGTAATGATTTTGTTCATGGAAATGTTTTTGCTTTTGCATTTGCCTTTTCTTTTCCCTTCTTCTTACAGCTTGTTTTTTGTTTTTTTTGGTAAAATCTTAGTTGCCGGAGCTTCACCTTCTTCCTCAGCTGCGCCGTCGACGGTATCACTTTCCCGTAATTTGTGACAATGTTTAGAATTTCGTGAATGTTTGCACCATTTTTATGTTCTTTGATTATGTATGATGGAAAAGATGTTAGGTAAAATTTCAGTGTATGGGTTTGTGAAGTCTGGTTTTAGCTGATACGATGGCTTAAGAATTCTGGAAAATGAGAATGTTGCCATTGCATGAATCTTTCGTTTTATGTTGCTGAGAAAACAGTGGAATGAGGGAATAACTTATCAGATCTTTGTCCTGTCAATTTTTGCCACTGTTTTATGTAGCAAATGTGAGATTCTTTCATCTTTTGCTCGAGAGAAATTATAGATCTTTTAGAGAAGCTGAGAAATCTGAGGGAGAATTGTGAACGAAAATTTAATGCCTCATTGTAGGATTTGGTGGCTACGGCCTTTTGTACTTTTGAATTGAACTCCTTTCTTGTAGGTACATTTTTCATTTTTTTCTCAATGAAAACCCAATTTCCTATTGAAAAGATTAAGTGGCAAAACTAAGTAACCTTCTTTCATTTCAAGTTTAGCACTATCGGCTTCACTTAGCGATTGTTCTTCGATGAGATTTCAGCCCATATGTGCTTAGCAAATTACTTGACTTTACGTTATTGAGGCGCTTGCCTTTGTAGAAGTTGCTCCACCTATCAAGTCATTCATGGATGGTGAAAGGGCTTAGCATTTAGAGCTTGGGTGTCCTATGACTATGATACATACCTTTTCTACAATGAAGGTCTTACCTGCAGAAGTATGTTGTTTGGTTAGGTTTTCGGATACTAGCAGGCGACATAAGCTTGTGACAAGGTTTTGATACCTCCAATTTGAGAAATTTTTAGAGGAGATTGCCACATTGTGATCAATAGTTTTGTACTGCTAGATTTAGGAGAGAAAAATTGCAAAAGTACTTAAATTTTGTATCCAAAAGTTATCAAGGAACATAATTTTTTTAAAGTTCATATCGAACGTTTGTGGCTATCTCATTGAATAATTTTTAAACTCTATATGTTTTACTTATCAAAGGGTACATGTAAGTTACTATATAGAGGTGGTTACTACTGATGAATAGTATATAAGGCCAAGTGGTTTGAAAGGAGAGACAATTGTCTTCTTATGTGTTTTAAGTAGAAAGCAGACCCCTCGAACGTCTACGAACTATGTACGTGACAGTACATTGCCTAGTTGGTTTCTAACTACGAAGATGTAACGTTTGCAACCCATGATCTTGGAGTCCTGGTTGCATATAGCAATTTGGATTTGATTTGTCGACCTCTTATGTCGACAACTATCACTTGGACTAGAGGGATTCCCTAATAGGAAAGGAAGTCCTCTCCTCAATTTTCCACTAAACTATATTGGCTGATGCATTTTCTGTAGATGTGCTAGAGTACATGAGGAAAATAATTTTTGCTATAGCAGTGCCAGAGTATACGAGGAAAAGAACTTCTTAAACAGTTGTTAGTAACAGCCCAAGCCCACTGCTAGCAGATATTGTCTTCTTTGGGCTTTCCCTTTCGGACTTTCCCTCAAGGTTTTTAAAACGAGTCTGGTAGGGAGAGACTTTCACACACTTATCAAGAATGCTTTGGTCTCCTCCCCAACCGATGTAGGATCTCACAATTGTGCCTTTCCCAAACAGGGCTTGGAAGTTGCTACAAGTTTTGTTTTAAAGCCTATGGTTGTAGAGAGCTTTATATTTGTACATTCAAAATAATTTTTGTGATCTTGGTTTGCTTGGAATACTTTGGTGCAATTTATTTTTGTATAATTGGCTAATTAATGTTTGTTTCTGCAAATTGATAGCCACTTAGTGGAAGAACACAAAGTGGGAGGCAAACTCAGAGTGAGTTCTTTTATTCCGGCTTTTTAATCAAGAACAATTTGATTTTGATGATACCGATGTTCTTGCATATGCTTCTTCAACTGGCTTATTCCTTTAATATAGGTCCGCTATCAAGAACAACGGGAAAAAAAAGACGCTTCAGACCAGGGACAGTGGCGTTAAGGGAAATTCGACAACTCCAGAAATCATGGAATCTGCTAATTCCAGCCAGCAATTTCATCCGCGCAGTGGGTTCTTTTTTTCCTCCTCTTGTTTATTTGAATGCAAGGACACCCTTGAATTAAAGTTTTCACTAATTGATTAAGGAGCCAGAAGTTTTCCTCTTGTTTATATTGAGATGTCTTCTTCTTTGCCATAACCGTAGTCTTGGTGCATAGTCTTTTTATAAGAGTTTACTTTATGCATATCTATGACTGTTTCTTTTGGATGAAAATATAACTTCAATCGAGAAGGGTAACTACAAAATTACATGGTCTGTTGGAAGAGGAGTCCCACGCCGGCTAATTAAGAGGTTGATCATGGGTTTATCAGTAAGGAATACATCTCCATTAGTATGAGGCCTGTTGGGGAAGCCAAAAGCAAAGCTACGAGAGCTTGTGCTCAAAGTGGGTTATATCATACCATTGTGGAGGGTCGTGATTCCTAACATTACAGGAGCCACCTATCTAGGATAATAGACGTTACCAACCTAGGAGAAAATGCTATGACTTTCTTGATATGAAAATATCGGAGGATCACATGGTTGCCTCATGAAATGAATCAAGATGTGAAAAATATGAAGAAAACATAGAATTTGAAATGATGGATTGGCATTGAAATCTTCTTAACCCCCGCCCACGTGCCGTTTACAAAATTCTTCTCTCTAGCCAAATGTTCTACACTACTGCATTACAACCCGTTTGCAAAAAGTATTCCCTTTGTCCTCAAATGGAGCTCTGTTAGTTTTCAGTTTTTAAGGAGAAAGAACATATTACTTGTTTTCTAATTACTTAACATGTATTGCTGTTGAAATTTGATCACTTGATAGTTATATTTAAAACCTTTGTAGGTGAAAGAAGTAAGCTACCAGTTGGCTCCGCAGGTTACACGTTGGCAAGCTGAAGCTTTAATAGCTCTTCAAGAAGTAATTGCTTATTTTCTATTGTTTGCTTGATTGAGCCTTATTTTCTATGACTTTCTTGATTGAGCCACACTATTTATGGCAATAGCTTTGGGAATTTGAAGCTCATTTTTTAAAAAACTTGTTGCAACTTGCAAATTTATCATGTCTAGCGGTATGTTGACAGTACCTTTTACTCTCTGTTAAGTATGTTCTAAAATTTACAAGAATTGTTGCTGAAAGTTACTAAGATTTCTGAACATGAGCTTCCTTTATGAGAATGTTCTTCGTTAGTTTGTTGTATGAATGTGTGTGTTTTCTCTCTAGCTCTTGTTTAATTCTGAAATTTACTAAGATTTTTGACCTGATTCAGGTTTTGCTTTTGGTTATATTTTCTTAAGATCAAGTAAATTTGTACCATTAAACTTCTTGCATTTCTCTCATTTGTAGGCCGCAGAAGATTTTTTGGTTCATCTATTTGAAGATACAATGCTATGTGCTATTCATGCGAAGCGTGTAACAATCAGTAAGTCGATCATTAACCTAGTGTCCTACGCACTGCACCAGCTTTCACCTTACTCGTTTTCGATGATATTACCGTTATGCTACAAGTAGATTCTTCTTAGGAAAAGCAATACTATCGAAACATATAGCGTGGTTGAGGCCATACTGCATGAGTCACTATAATATAGTAAAAGTATACTTTTGTTTGCTCGATGTCGTATGCTTCTTCGAATTGGTTCCTATGTTAAGAAATGATTGTGGATTGTTATCCTGGTCAGTATGGAATAAGTTTCTTTTCAGCTCATTTTGAACTTGTCATGCTCAAAGAACAAATTTTCTAAGCAGGCATATGGACTAAGATATTTCACTTCTTGTTGCTCGACGTTGTATGCTTCTTCGAACTGGTTCCTATGTTAAGAAATGATTGTGGATTGTTAGCCTGGTTAGTATGGAATAAATTTCTTTTCAACTCATTATGAACTTGTCATGCTTCTTCCTTTTCGTTCGTTGTTTCGTATTTGTACATTAGAACTTTATCTTCCAGGGCTTCATGATCAGTAACTTTTGACTTGTAAATAGT